TTAATAGTACTGTGGTTTTTTTTATGGTTTTTGCTTGAAACTGGTTTTCTCTGGTTTTTGTCCCATAAGTCCACAATTTTTAGTTTGAATTTTTGGTGGAAGTTGCTTTTAATATCCACTAGATTTTAAAAATGCCAAACCAAAAACTATACATGTTTTCATACACCCAGTGTCTCTTGTTTGTTTCTATGGAAATTGATAAATGCTGTAAATGTCAAAGCGACATTCCCTCTGGACAGAAATGTCTCCCTCTGGATCCTGGTGTACAAGCTTAAAAGGAAGTCTGAAACAACCACACACAAAAAACAACATGCACAAAAAACCATGTAATGCACATTATGGATAATGAGTACCAAATGTACTTTTATTGCTCTGAGGCCAGAAAAGTCACTGCCGCTGGATCCTCCGGGGTGTCCTTTGTTTGAAGTTGCGCTGTGTTTTTGTGCTCAGTCCCTGTCATTTGGATCAAAGACAAGATTACTGAGAGGCATTAGCTCATCATTACACTAATGCATGATTTCTTATCTGTAATTTTGTTTTTCTGTCTTTGTATATTCTCTGACAGGCCTGTTTCATATCACTTAATCACATTTTGGCTGACCTGCTCTGTCTTAGAAGTCATTGTTTTCTCAGGGTTTTTTTTTTTGTGTTTGTTTTCAGTCACCAAAGATTTTCCACCGCTCAAATTTTGATATTTGCAATGTTGCAATATTGATACCTCTTTCATAAATGATGAACTTCACAGAGCTTTGGTTCTAATGTACTATGCCATGTTATGCACATGGGTATATAAGCTGAATTTTTTATAAGTGAGCCCTGAACAGCGTTCGTATGCATGTTCATCCGTGACTGTCTATCAGCGCCTGATGTGAGTACTTAATTAGAAAGGGTAGGACAAAGTGACACCAACTGTTTCTCAAGATAAGTTTTTGTTTGCTTCGAGCACAACATTATGCAGCTGATATGCCGATGTCTATGTATTTGAAATGATTTGATTCACAGCAATTTCTTTTTAGCTATGACTTTTCAAAGTTAAAGTGTTCTCGAGGCTCTTTGCCATCTGTGCCTGATTGATGGTTGGGTGGATTTGAAGTCACATAAGGCTACCAAGAAAGTTACCAATCACAACACAGCCATCTACCTGATCCATCTGTGTGTCAAACCCCAGCACTGAACCCATGTTACACACATGTTACGCACAAGGCCCTGTTCCTTAAAGGGAAAGGCTGGGTCAGCAGAAAGCGAATCAGAGCTCATGAGTTAAACATGAGCATCGCGTGCATGTTGTCACATGGATAAATGAAAGCTTGACTAGACGAATCTCGAGTGATGCTTCAAAGCATCGGTTTTCAACTCTCAGCATGTCAGTTGGTGATATTTAAATGTGTCAGGGGAAGCACGTGTTTCCACTTGTGAGCAGTCTTTAGAAAAAGGTAAGCTAGCGAGTCGCTTCTAAGCTTTACATCCATACAAATGCCCTGCCGGCCATATGGGGAAAGGAGTGGTTTTGATCTTCTGTTTGTCCTTTAAGCGCATTGTTACAGCTCTACAGCAGTAAAAAGGAGGTTGTGTGGAAAGGTTCAGCGTATAGCAAAATCGGATTTGTTTTCACTTAAATGCTTGTACAAATATATACATCCTCGTACATACACATGTACCACATACTTACTCATACCAGTGACTTTGCATGACTTTCTGATGATTTATGCAGCCATCAAAGTGGCACAGCACACAGGATCACTGAATTTATTAACAAGCAGTGTAGACTGAGCTGTGTTAACCACCCAACATCTTGGAAACTCACAAGCAGGTCATTTTGTGTTTGTGACCTTGGTGGATTCTTAATTCAGACGTGTAGAGCGGGCATGAAACTGTCTCCTTCACCTCCCATAACACTGAATAATTAAACTCTGAGCTTTTAGGGATGAACATCATGTGGCAGAGGAGACAGGGAGCAAAGGGAGAGAGGAGAAGTGGCTGGTGGGAAAGGCTTAGATGGCTTCAGGGTGGAGGGATGGAGATGAATTGAGAAGAGTGTTGCTGTTGTTTCTTGTTTTTGTTGTTGTTGTTATTTTCCATTAAGAGGATGTTTTTGTTATAATTCTAGTAGTGACATGTTTAATTGAGGAACTAGCATGTTTAAAAGAACACGGGATCGTAATGTGAGTCTCCAGCAGAGATTAAAGATGTTCTGTGCATTCCATGGTTTGTATTAGTGTCGGCAGTTTAACGCTGCACCTGTTGTGGCTTTAGCAGGCCTACTGTGTGCCGGTGCTTCACTCCCACCGATTCAGCTGCCATCCATTTCTCCTCAGAAACCAGCCCACGCAGCAATTAACTACACAGCTATAAAAGCTGAGAAGACGAGCTGCCCGGTTTCAGAGTGTGAGTGCCAGCTTCAGTACTGTGGTGAGCTTGAGGTGTGTTTCTAAACTGCTAGTGAGTAGCTGTGTTTGTTTGCCTGTAGAGTTTTCCACAGTAGTGCACTTTGCTTCAGTGCTTTGAGCAGCTGTGAGCAGCAGTTACCTTTTGTTAGTAGAAGTGCTTTTCAATGAACCATTTGTTAACACCTTGGGCTTGCTAATATTTTGTTGTTAGACTGACATAAAATGATACATGTATTTGTGTTGCATACAAATGTTCATTATTTGGATCTTAAATTAATTCTTGTTTGGATTCTGGGCACTTCTGAATTGCAAAGATGCCAACTGACAGATAGATATGTTTTTTTTTATTAACTCTTTATAGTGAAACAAAACGCTGGAATAAACACACTGACACAAATAACCACTTATATCTACATATCTTTACATATGTATTGTAACCCATGTCCAAAAAACATGTAACAGAAATTTAGTTTCTCTTGTGCTCTTGTGGGCTTCCCGCATAGCTTCATCTTCTATTTCTGGGAGTCTTGTTCTGACCACATTTACTAGTTTTCCTTATTTGCACTGTAGCTCTCATTAACAGTGATTGTCCTCGACATTAAGACTGGATCTATTTCCCATAGAGGTTGATGTTTGCTCTCAGTGCAAGTTTAAAGTTTGAAATCACAGACGTGTAAGTGCAAGTGGTGACGGCAGAAATTCAAGAGATCAAAACAGAAAATCTGGACATGACGTGCTCAAGACATAATAAATACAAAAGAGGACACACTCATGTGACACACGGCTGCATTATCTCATCATCTCATGAAGATATGTAAATATTTTTATATATTTTATATTTACACGAGATAAAAAATCATTGACAGTGTCAATGACCACGATTGGTCCCTACGCATTCACATTTTGGCTCCCATATCAGAATTACTGTCTCTCTAAAGACCGTCTCTTGCTCAATCTACTAAACAGTAATTTGCCTATAAAGCAATATTGTAGTAATTAAATAATGGTGATTTGCAGAAATATTAAATCCACTGGACTTCAAAACTATAGAGGAAATTCAGCTGTGTCTTGCTCTCCTGCCCACTGATGCACTTTCAACTTGAACCTATTAGACCTCCACCCATGTAGGACTGAACAGGTGAGTTTTAAATGTAACAGTCACAGAGCAAACTGAAGCTGAGAGCAGAATGAACCACCACTGTGATGTGCTGGTTGTTTCCATTACACGGAGCATTATTGCTGTCACGGTCTATTTGCATCACCTGTTTGCACACATACTCTAACACACACTCTAACACACACTCTGCCCCTCAGGCCACAGTGCTTATAAAGATTAAAGGCTTAAATGCAACTCACAGACAGAGAAACAGAATGGTTTGATACATAAATACAGAGGGTGGAAATCATTGTTTTAACATTTTATACCATTTTATCTCAGTAGTAGAATAATCAAAACACCCTCACTTTTTATTCTAATACTGCACATAAATTAACCGTGTATATATTCTAAAAACACCATGGGTCTTTAGTTACCATAGTGCTGTTGTTACTGGCCGGTAAACCCATGTATTGTAAACCCATTATAAATCCACTGAGTAATAATTTCTGATTTCTGGGAATTTCTGCTAATAAACTAAAAAAATGTTCTCGATTGTAGTATTTTCTCCAGAGCTCAGAAATGGCAGAAAATCATAGAAAAGAAGAAGAAGGAATCCGATTTCAAAGCAATTTGCATTATTCATCAACACCTACTACAAACTGCTGGAGGGATGGCTCCGGGTTTATAATCAGAATATTACTTAAAGAATAATGCAACTTACCATATGCTGCAACTTTTCCAAAGAACAGCTTGAGCCGATGAAGTAAAGTCTAAGGTCAGCCTTTCCTTCCTCGCATATCTCCTCCTAACTCAATGTCTTTATAACTACATTATAATTTCTGTATGGACGGAAAGAGTTAGGTGGTTAGCACTTTTACCTGAGAGCACGAAGCTTCAGAGTCCAGAGAGTACATAGCCTCAGGTTCAGTTTCAGCTGAGATGGGCTCCAACTTCCCATAACCATAGTTAGATAAACAGTAAAGCAAAATGATGAACAGGCGGATGACAGATGTAGAGGGATTTACAGCAACAAATGTTACTGTAGGTTGTAATAATCTCTAGAAGCCTTTGGGGTTTGTTTTTTTCATACGGCTGTTAGAGTGCAGGAAGTGTCAGTCACTTTTTTGTAAGCATTAGGGAGAAACTGATGCAAGAGAACACTGTTGGCTGAAATTTATATCCCATTAATACAAAAGTTGATAATATAATACTGTATAAACACTGGAAACGGGTACATCAGTGAGACAGCTCAGGCTGAGTTGGTTTGGACGTGTGAAAAGGAGGAATACTGCATATATTGGATAAAGGATCTTGAATATGGAGCTGCCAGGAAGGAAGAAAAGAAGAAGACCACAGTGGAGGTTCAAGGATGTAGTGGAGGAGGTCATGCTGAGTGTTGCAGTAGGGGCAGGTGATTCACTGAGGTGACCATTAACAGGAGCAGCTGAAAGATATAACTGCTCACTTTTACCAATCATCATTCACAAATACTGAATTTTCTGGTAACTGTTTTCTGCAGTTGATTGTGCAGTGTCAATCTCGTGCTGGTTTTTGACTACACAGAATCAACCTGATCAAAGCCCAGTCAAGATGGTTTAGGTTGCGGCCGGCAGTGGGTGACACAGTGTGTCATAAAACATTAAAACATGGATGTTGCATCTGGGAGGTCACAGCACGGGTGGAGTCGTACCTGACTGCTCTCTCAAGTCTGGCATGGTTGACCAGTATGAGCACAGAGCGCTCTGCCAAACGCCTTTTTTCCTACCACTCACCTACGTACAACTGCAAGAACTGGTGAAGCAAAAAATGAATAACGCTGCCAGTGTGTGTTAGTCAGAACTGTGAAATTGAGTAACACAACACAGCCAGTGTTGTATACACCCCTAAAGTTGCCATTGTCTGTTTACATTAAAGTCTTGTAAGCATGATTGATCAATGGGTAATGTTTAGTCTGTCACATCTCTCAGACATGTAAAGGGATGTAATAATTAGATGAGATACAATGACCACTGATTACCTTCATGTACTTCATAATATAATGGAATAGAGAGTACACATTCTTTAGGACTCACGAAAGAAATCGTAATTAGAAACAATGAGAAACATTGCTTTGCCCTCCTCTGCATCTTCTCAGAGCTTTCCAAATTTATTTTGCTATGCCCCCAAGGTGGAACGAGTGCTGTAATTGGTGAGAACTGTCCCATTTACACACTTAGGCACACAGCAGGAAGGAGGAAGCTGCTGTGATGTCGATAGCGATTACAGCTACAGGTTAAATCTCCTGAGCCGCAGATCGACCGAAGCTCTCTGCTGACTGTTGTCACCTTAAATGCAATCCGACAAGAATGAGCAGCAAAGGAGAGAAAGACAAAGTTTTACCATGCAGCTGCCACAGTTTGGTCTCTGCTGCTTTCTGTGCTAAGAGAATAAAAAATGAAAGGAGTCATGTTCAGACAGTCAGCTGAAATCTGTTTCATCTGCACATCAGGTATTTATTTAATTTTGTATTATACATCATAACCAGATCACTGTTTACTTTGCAGCTTAACACAGACATAAACAAACCATAACATGTAGATTGATATTTAGCAATTTCAGGTCGAAGAAGTACGGTTACTTCCTTTAATACTAAATAAAAGAGCAAAAGCATAAAGGGTCATCTTTTTCTGATCACTCTTTGCATGCAAATAATTATCATGAGCACATCTATAATGATAAAAGCCCCATCCGTATATGAAGATCAACATTTGGGTAAAATAAATGAAGCTAAAAAACCTTTTACATGGAACATGACTAATGTACCCCTCTGCTGTTACACCCATTCTTTAAGCAAGAATGGTTTCCTGCTGTATGTAGCAGACTGCAGTGTGGCATAAGCGAGCCAGGTGGGGAACACTTAGACCACACATTGGTGGACATACATGCACATGACCAATAGAAATGCAGAGTGACAGGAGTGGGCATAAACCATGAGTGATCATAAAACCTTTTTTGGGGGTCCCCTCAAACCTAGTAGTCAGTGCAGTGCATAATACATTTTATTGTGAAAGGGCTTTAATGCTGACATCCCTTAAACCTGCATTAATGGTTGCCAAACAAGTCATCTTGCTGCGTCAGGAAAATAACCCTCTCACTAATTAAAAGAAATGAAATCTTATTATTGAATATAGCATAATGCTCCTTTTGCTTATTGGATAAGCAGAAGAAAATTGATGGAGTTTGTCATGTATTATAATATTAGGCTTGCTTCAGTCCACCAAACAATGATAGTTGTTACATCCTTATTTATAGAATCTATGGTACAATTGCAAGAGGTTCCTGACGGGTTACTGGTCGCACAGGATCAACAGCCAGGTCTACATTCTTTCTGCTGGGATCATTGCTAATCCATGAAGTGTGTCAAAGTGAAAGAAGAAAGATTATTGTCAACAACGACCATCACACACGTTACATAACTACATGGAGAGGACGTTGTGATATCTTTAGAGGGTGTGGATTCACTGAGTTAAAATATGGAAACTGTGTCTCAGTAAAAGTGTGTCTGAAGGTGTGTATGTGTGTGTCAGTATCAGGATCAGAGAATGACAGTTTTCCTTTGGCCCAGTCCAGATGAACTCTGATCCTCTGAAATCTCTTTCTTATTGAGAGAACAGTTGGGGGGCCGTCACTGGAGTTTGCTGTGTACTCACCATCACAGAAAACAAGTTTTAATAAGTTACATTTTTTGTCTTCACTGTTGGCAGATCTCGAAAAGACTCCTAGTGCCCAGACTGGACTGTATCCAACTTCAGCATCCCAGCTGTGGATATCTGAGTTGAAGCCCTCAGAGCCGAGGACGGAAGGATAGAGATAAATCCTTTCAGGGTTTTTGGGAACCTTCTGTTTCCTTGCACGTCTCACACTGGTTAGATTTTCAGACAAGATGAGATCTGGATGAGCAGTGTTTGGATCCAAAATCACAGGAGTATATGAAATAATGTCCTTCATGTTGCTCCAGATGTTGAAGGACAAGTTACCCAGGTGTTCAGCAACATCAATCAGAGCACCTGAGACCAGTTGAGGAACATCAAGCACGGATAGCTGCTGGACTCTTTTCACTGCAGCTTTGTAGCTGTGTAGGAAAGAGATGTCTTCAGCTCTCACCTCCCTCTCTGTGGCTCTGATTGTGCCTGAAAGATCTGCAATCTTTCTGCTCAGAGTTTCAATCTTTACCTTCATCTTCTGACTCTTTTGCTTCTCTTCATCTTTTAGAGCAGCAATCCTGGCATCCTCTTCGTTTTGTAGAAACTGGCGAAGCCTCGTAAACTGCTGCTTAATCTGCTTTTCTGTCTCCTGGGTTTGAACACTAATGTGTTCTGCAGTTTGAACACATTTCCCTTTAACTTCCTCGTAGAGCTTCAGTTTCTCCTTTAAAGGCTTCAGACATTCCTGGAGCTCCTGTTTGTGAGTGTGCGCAGCTTCATTGATGGGGCTGAATCTGTGGTTGATGTGCACTGCTGAATCTCGACAGACAACACACGCTGGCTCCTGATGGTCCAGACAGAAGAGCCTGAGATTCTCAGAATGCACAGTGCAAAGTGTCTGGGAACCTCTTGAAGCTCTCTGATCTGTGTTCTGTAAATACGCCTCACATAGGTTCTTCAAAGCCAGGTTACGGGGTGGATTACTCTGTAAAGATATCGTCTTACAAACCGGACATTGCTTTATTGGTTTGTCAAGCCACCATATCTGCAGACAGGCTTTACAAAAGCTGTGGCTGCATGACAAGATAACAGGATCTTCAAAGATGTCATGGCAGATGGGACAGGAGAGATGGTCTTCTGACTGTGTGGTCATTTTCTCTCTGAAAGACGCTTTAAGCAGAGCAGATATACAGATAAAAAAAATCTTAAAGTTCCTTTACCCACCTAATCTTTTTCCCCCCTCAATGACCTCCACAAACATTCTAGTACTCACAGTATCAGGAGCTCTTTTCTGCAGCTCGTTTCCAGAGCAGACTTCGTAGTTTATGCTGATAGTGAAAGTAATTAACTGTCAGTGTGTGTCTGTATTCTCTGCACAACTGCTCACATGAATCTGTGAATTCACTTTTATTGGTTGTCTCAGGTTGAGTAAGTCAGCAATGGGGTGGAGTTTTATTTCACCGTGTTGTTCTGGCTTTGTCCTTTTGCTGATGCTTTCACAGATGAGGAAACCCAGCTTTTGTACTCTGGTACAACTGCAATGGTGGAAAAAAATCCCACTGATGATGCAGAGGCCTCAAAAATGCATAAAATCTCATGTATCAAATATGTTACACATCACAATAGATAAATATATGTGCAATATTTCTTTGCTATGCTTCTTTCTACTTCCTGATGCAAATATCGCACTTTCCATTTATTTTAAAGCTTTGAAAACATATATCTACAAATTTATTGTGCTGCTATAATATAAATAAAGCTGCCCTGCAGTATATAAATAATTGAAATGATCCACATTATATACAAATTAATTAATTAATATGTTTGATCTGTTGTATTGTATAAGAGTATGCATGCTTTTAAGATTTTTTTTGCTTTAAGAGTACTTTTACTTTAGATACTTCAACTCTATTTTGATGCTAAAACATACTTTGACTTTACTACAAATATGAATTTTATTTATATTTATTCATATTTAATTTATAAATAAACTTATAATAAAACTATATTCTTATAAATAAACACTGCTGCTGTAATGGAATCTGAAGATTCATGTAAATTCATGCATTGAAACATTACGATTATTCTGACGGACAGTTGTTAGTTAAGATAGCTGTAATTGTAACTTGTGCATGTTCTGACTTTTCTATTCACTTGTAATTTAAACAAAGAGAACAATGCTCTCTTTACCTTGACTGTAGTAGATAAAGGGCAATGATTTGTCAGTTCGTCAGTTAGGGCTTGGTTACTGGTTACTCGGGACCAGCTGCCAACTCTACATTCTTTTAAGCTTCGCCTCTAGAGCATCTGTAATTTTACAAGCAGATTTACAAACTGAAACTACGTCCACAAGACCCGTTGACACCTTATAATACAAAACATAACGTAAATAAGAAAAATCTAATTAATCTGTCACACACCGAGACCTTTTTCAAATTCACTCTGGCTATACACAAGTTACAAAACACACGGCTCATTAGTTCTTAATAGGAAAGCATGCACTCCATAAACAACAACAACAACAACAGAATCTTGATTCTCTGCAGGGGCAAACTGAGTGTTGAATACTGTATTATAAATGACAATAATTCAAACAAATACATTCACCAAAGTGCCAACCCGCAGGTTTCATACAATATACGTCCTGTAGAGTCTTTCAGTGGTCACTTTTACATTACAGCAGCAACACAGCTAAAATTTAGCCTGACTATTGTTTGCTCTAGACCTTCACTTAGGAGAATTGCTGTCATCAGTTAATAAGAAATAGCTGTATTTCTGCAATAATGACTAATCCTCAGTACATGGGACAACTTCTCAATCAGGTGAGCTATAATGGCAGCCAGCTGCTGATATTGTTGAAAGATTAAATGGCCTTTTACGATTTAAGGTTAATTTGGATAATAACTGTCACAGTCCTGGGTCTGCGACCCAGTGTTTTGAGTTTTGTACTATTATTGATTTTTGATTTCATCATAAGTTTTCACTGCTAGTGTCTTGGTTTCGGTTTTCAGTATTTCCAGCTCCCTCGTTCTTTACTATATTATGACTTCTAGTCTTTAGGTTTTGATCATGTGCCTCCCCTGTGTTCTGTGTTATGTCTACACCTTCCTGTCCCACGTTTCAGGCCTCTGTGTTCTGTCTTCATTGTCATCCTTGCCTCCATGTTTGTGTGTTTCCTGCTTTACTTTGAAAGTCCATTTCCTATGTCAGTGTAATCTGTTTTGCTTCCTCCCGGTCTCTTCTTGTCTGATTAGTGTCAGCTGTGTCTCCCTGCTGTGTGGCATTTCCTTGTTTCCCTCTGTGTGTATATACTGTGCGTGTTGACCTCTGTTCCTCGGCAGATCATCTGCGTTATCTCTGCATACCTCTGTTCATCATCCCATGTGTATCTCTCCAAGCGTTTCGAGGTTTCAGGTTTTCTGTAGTTCTATGTTTCCAGTTCCATGTCTAGCTGTCCCCAGTTTAGGCTTTCGTTAGTTGTTTTGAAGTGTTTTTGCATCCAACAATAAAGGCTAGCTTTTTGTTTATCCTGCCTCATCTCCGTGTGTCTGCGCTTGGGTCCTCACACGTTTTGCTTCACTAACCGTGGCAATAATTTTGATTATTAAAACAACTTGAAACAAAAAGTAATAATAATGTAAGCTTTAATAACATAAAACATGATGAAAGCTAAAACTAAAACTGTAACAGAAGCGAGAGCAAATGCCCTGCTTGCTGTTTTAATTAGCAACATCCTTTGAGCTGCATGTGTGACATTATGCATTTTATTGATATATTGTAGATTAAAGTAAGTTAACAGCAAAAACAACTGTGCTTATTATAATTTTTAATATACATGGCCAATATACATAAATAACAACTTTCCATATTACAGTCACTCACCATATAACTGTCCTTGCTGATCCAAGAGTGAGGCATTAATATCAGTACAATGTGATACATGGGGAGCATGCATCATTAAGGCAAGATCAAGCCCAGCTCCATACAGTGCTGTGAAAAAATATTTAACCCCTTCCTGATTTCTTAGTTTTTGCATATAAGTCACTCTTAAATATTTCCTATCAGGAAACAAATTTTAATATTAGACAATAATAACCCAAGTAAATACAAATTGGAGTTTTTAAATGATAATGTTATTTATTTAGAGGGAAAAAAAACCTACCCAAAGCCGCCTGGCCCTGTGTGAGAAAGCTATTTTTGGTTTCAACATTTAAGCTGAGTTTAATTTCACAACCCACACCCAGGCTGAATACTGCCAGACCTGTTGAATCAAGAAAGTATTTAAATTGAATTCACAACACTTTATTTTTATTCTTTTGATTCTATTAACTTGGCTTTGTATGATTTACAGTTTAATACGATACTTATTTATCTCACACTGCTTCTTGTTTCAGGCCTTCAGGTCATCATTTTTCTGGAAAAATGGTGTAACCATGAAATAGACCGTCTTAACTACTGAGATTCTGGATTATAAAATATACAGGTTAGTGTTAGTGGTAAATTTAACACATAGAAAGTATCAAATGGAGAATTGTAGTCACCACTGATTGTTTTTGGTCCTACATACTAAACTGAATGGGAAAATCAGTAATTTCTCCCACTGAGAGTGTAGTGACAAAAGAGATTGTATGAGTGAGAATGTAAAAAGAGATGAAAAGTGAAACTGTCTAATTACTGTGAGATAAAACAGTGGATGACTTGCAGTCACATACGTTTATATTTCATATTGATCCACACTTATTCAAGTTCTTTGAAAATTTTACATTAAGTTCACGCCACATGGAAGATACCAGTCCTATTGTGCTAAAAGAAGTACAACAATAACACAGTGGAAATCTGTGATCAATACATGGTGCCTTAAACTGTTATTACAGTGTTGCTGTTCAAAGAAACCGGCTGCTGCGAAACCTTCATTTCTTGGCTCGTATTATTATATTTCTCCTCCTCTGCTTATCTGTAAATAAAATGAAAAGATAATAGTAAAACAGAGAATTCAGACATTTTTTTTCTTTGCTTTCCCTTAACCGCAACCAGGTGAGGCAGATGGCTGCCCTTCCTGATGTTTTTGAGCGGGATTTTTTTTAGGCTTTTTTTCCCATCAGTACTGCCTGACGGGTGCTTATAGAGGCTGGTTCGGCTTCTGTCTTTAATATTGTCAGGTCTATACTCACAATATTAAGTGCCCCAAGGACGACTGTAGTAATCTAGTGCCATAGAAATGTAAGTGAATTACATACTTAGTTATTAATCACACAGCATATGGACAGTGGGAGATTTGTGATGGGACATGTTGACCAAAAAAACTAAAATAAATTCACGTCCTGAAAAAACAACGACATTCTTTCTGATGCTTTGATTCTCTCTACTGTATTTTTCTGAAACTTCAACAAAGATAAGAAGGTTTACTTTGCAATTTACACATAACAAATGATTATGTGAACTATGTTTTCCTCATATTTCTCTTTGGATTTCATTTCAAGTTGAAAAGCTTGAGAGCAAATTTAAAGAGCAACATTGTTGGAAATCTTGTGTATATCATGTAAACATTCATTCCTTATTAGCATGTTAGGACTGTTTGATAACTACCTTCACTTTACCCATCACCAGTGGCGTGTGGGTGAAAGAAGTCTTTGGGAAGTGACTTCTGCCACATGCAGTGCTGCAGGTCTTGCTTATAAAAAAAGTAGTGTAAAGTGAAAGTACATTTCAACAGTATTTCAACAACAATTATTCATATTTCTCACAGCAAACTGGAGGTTTTTCTAATAATAACACAGTAATAAATAAAATAAGGTTAGCATTCAAACATAAAAAGAGCTTTTGAAAAGTTGTCTTGAAAAGTTAGTTCCCCTTTTCTTCTTTTTTTTCCTTAGCAACATTTCACATGTAAACCATTTCAGCTTTAACCCTCATTTTTTCTCTGTCTGTTTCTCTGACTCTGTCTGTTTCTCTGAACTTCTTCATCTGGTCTCCTCGCAGAGTTTTCTGTTTTCAGACATGCTCTAAACAAATTATTTAATTGGCTGAGGAGCATCACATGAGGTGAGTTCCAAAGCACAGAATTGGTTTGTGTGTGTACTGTGACTACTATAAATACAAAGGACAGATTAAGCCTTGTTGTAATTACGCTAAAAGTCACACTGTCACGGCCAGGGGGATCAGTGTCCAGCTGATCAGAGTTTTTTTTCCTATTTTTCTCTCCAAACTTCCTCTCTCTCTCTCTCTCTCTCTCTCTCTCTCTCTCTTTCCTCTTCTCTATCGCCAGGTTCACGTTGTGGGTTCACGCCCTCGGTGAGAGGAAACACCTGAGTCTAATCAGGGCGGCTAGCATTTAAGCCAGGAGGCGACTGCTGTTCTTCGCTGGATTGTTTTCTGCCGCGCGT